GTGTGTGTGTGTATGTGTGTGGTGTGTGTCGGGGTGGTGCCTGTGTGTCGGGTGTGTGTGTGTATGTGTGTGTGTGAGTACCTGTGTGGGTGTGTGTGTGTATGTGTGTGTGTGTGTGTGTGTGTGATGTGTGTGTGTACCGTGTGGGGGGGGTGTGGGCGTGTGTGTGTATGTGTGTGAGTACCTGTGTGTCGGGGGTGCGTGTGCGTGTGTTGATGTGTGTGTGTGTGTGTGTTACCTGTGTGTCGGGGGGGTGCGGGCGTGTGTGTGTATGTGTGTTGTGTCTGTGTGTCGGGGGGTGCGGGCGTGTGTGTGTATGTGTGTGTGTGTATGGTGTGGTCGATGTGTGTGTGTGTGGTGTGTTGCAGGGCGTGTGTGTGTATGTGTTGAGTACCTGTGTGTCGTGGGGGTGCGGGCGTGTGTGTGTATGTGTGTGATACCTGTGTGTCGGGGGGGTGCGGGCGTGTGTGTGTATGTGTGTGTGTGTGTGTTGGGGGTCCTGTGTGTGTAATGTGTGTGATGTGTACCTGTGTGTCGGGGGGGTGCGTGTGTCGTGCGGGCGTGTGTGTGTATGTGTGTGAGTACCTCGGGGGGTGCGGGCGTGTGTGTGTATGTGTGTGAGTACCTGTGTGTCGGGGGGGTGCGGGCGCTCTCTGAAGTATCGGCGGCACACGTCCTGGAACAGCGCCAGGCACAGAGTGTTCAGCAGGAAGTACCATATTTGGTGTTCTTCCTCCACGAAGGAGGAGGAGCCCAGCAGGAGGGCGTGGCCTAGAGTCCCACAGACGAGCAGCAGGTCGAGCTCCGAGAACGAAGAAGAAGAAGAAGAAGGAAGAGGAGGAAGAGGGCTGTGAGGAGAGAGAGAAGAAAGAGAGAGAAAAGAGGAGTAGAGGAGAAAAAGAGAGCATAGCGAGAAAGAAAGAGGAGAAAGAGAGAGAGAACAGAGAGAGGACGGAGAGAAGAGAGAGAGAGGAGAGAGAGAGGAGAGAGAGAGAGAGAGAGGAAAGAGAGAGAGAAGGGAAGAGAGAGAGAGGAAAAGAGAGAAAGAGAGGAAAAGAGAGAGAGAAGGGAGAGAGAGAGAGGGAGAGAGAGGAGAAAGAGAGAAGGGAGTGAGAGAGAGGAGAGAGGAAAAGAGCGAGAGAGAGGAGAAAGAGAGAGAGAAGAGAGGAGAGAGAGGACAGGAGAGGAGGAGTAGAGGAGAGAGAGAAAGAGAAAGCGAGGGAGGAGAGAGGAGAGAGAGTCAGTGTTGTGACAGACTGACGTGTTTGAGTTTTTCAGGTTGGTGGATTTGAGACGAGCGGGAAAAGGCGGGACGTCACCGTGAACACTTGAATCTGATTGGTCGAAGCGTCACTACAGCAGCGATCCACCTCTGGCTCCGCCCACAGCCCAGCGGCCGACTCCCAAACACAGAGTCGAGGGTCAGAGCTAGTGCGGCCTGTGCGGCTCACAGAGGAAACTGTGGAGGCCCCAACAGAACCTGAGACCCAGACACACGTATGTGACTCTGTCCACGTGCACATGTGTGTACACGGACCGAGACACACGTATGTGACTCTGTGCACATCTGTGTGTGTAGACGGACCGAGACACACGTATGTGACTCTGTGCACATGTGTGTAGACGGACCGAGACACACGTATGTGACTCTGTGCACATGTGTGTAGACGGACCGAGACACACGTATGTGACTCTGTGCACATGTGTGTAGATGCAGTATCTCAGTGTCAGAGCCCAAATAAACCAGTGTTCAGTTATGACACACTGAGACACTGGAGCTGGAATATTCCCATAGAAACTGGAACATTTAAACATGTGCACGACCCGCGCCCACACGACCCCCACGACCCGCATGACCCGCGCCCGCACGACCCGCGCCCACACGACCCGCACTCATATGATTTCTTAAAAGTTTCAAAAGATTCTCTGCGGCCTTGTGTGGTCTCTGTAGCGCCCCCTGCGGTCTCGTCTGGTCTTGTGCGGTCTGTGTGGTCTCGTGTGGTCTGTGCAGTCTCGTGTGGTCTGTGTGTTGTCTGTGCGTGTTCTGTGTGGTCGTGTGGTCTTGTGTGTGTGGTCTGTGTGGTCTGTGTGTCTGTGGCTGTGTGGTCTTGTCTGTGGGTCTGTGTGGTCTGTGCGGTCTGTGTGGTCTGTGCGGTCTCGTGCGGTCTCGTGTGGTCTGTGTGGTCTGTGTGGTCTGTGCGGTCTGTGTGGTCTGTGTGGTCTGTGTGGTCTGTGTGGTCTTGTGGTCTTGTGGTCCTGGTTGTAAAAGTGCAGAGTCACTGTGACACAAACGGCCCAAACGTGGGACTTCTGATGGAATCAACAATCCAATTTATAATAAAGCACTTTAGCAAATGAGACCTGCTGAAACTCGGCCAAGAACCAGGACTAGACCAAGACCAGGACTAGAGACAGGACCTGGACTGAGACCAGAACTAAACCAGGACTAGGACTGAACCAGGGCTAAAATTACAAACAAACCAGAACTAAACCAGGACTGAACCAGGTCCAGGTCTGTGTTATATTTGGATCTGTTCTGTGTCCTTCTCTCTCTCCTCCAGGCAGAGTTACAGGTCAGATCTGTGCAGAGGCGAGTCCTGCTCACAGTAACAGAGCATGTTCGGTAAAGTTTAAAAACCCTCCTGCAGAAAAGTGACACAGTGCAGCTTTAAGATCTTCTTTTTCTTTGAAACTGGAATTTTTCTGCCCTTTTTTCGCATTTTAATCTGTTTTTAATCTGTTTTTAATCGTTTTTAATCTGTTTTGAATCAGTTTGAATCAGTTTTTAATCTGTTTTTAATCTGTTTTAATCTGTTTTTAATCTGTTTTAATATGTTTTTAATCTGTTTTGAATCAGTTTTTATCTGTTTTTAATCTATTTTAGTCAGTTTTTAATCCTTTTTTAATCTGTTTTAATCCGTTTTAATCTGTTTTTAATCTGTTTTAATCTGTTTTTATTTGTTTTTAATTTGTTTTAATCTGTTTTTAATTTGTTTAAATCAGTTTTTAATCGTTTTTAATCCATTTTTAATCAGTTTTAATCCGTTTTTAATCAGTTTTAATGTGTTTTTAATCAGTTTTAATCCATTTTTAATCCGTTTTAATCTGTTTTTAATCCGTTTTAAATCAGTTTTAATCCATTTTAATCTGTTTTTATTTGTTTTTAAATTGTTTTAATTTGTTTTTAATCCATTTTTAATCAGTTTTTAATCTGTTTTTAATGGTGTTTTAAATCAGTTTGAATCTTTTTTGCGTTGCTGGGTTTGTGTCCTGGTTTGATTTCCCTGGCGTCTGTGCTTCTGCTCTGAGGATTTGTGTCTCGTCCAAAAACGTCTCGGACGATTTCAGACGATTACAAACCCCCACGACTCCATCTTCATCACACTTTGATTCATTACAGCCGCACTCCTCCTCCTCCTCTTCCTCCCTCTCTCCTCTCTCTCCATCCCTCTTTCCTCGTCCTCCTCTCCATCTCCCTTTCTTCTCTCTCTCCCTCCTTTTCTTCCTCCATCCTTTTTCCTCCTCCTCTTCTTTCCCTCTACCCATTTACCTCCATCCAGTCTCTCCTTTCCTCTCTTCCCCCTCTCTCTCTCCTTCTATCCTCTCCTGCCTCTCCATCTATTTCGCTTCCTCCTCCTTCTCCCTTTCCTCTCTGTCTCCTCCCTCTCTCTCTCTCTCTACCTCCTTCTCTCTCTCCAGTTCTCTTCTTCCATCCGTTCTCTCCTTCCCTCTTTCCTCCCTCTCTCTTCCTCCATCCTCTCTCCAGCTCTTCCCTCTCTCTACGTCTCTCCACCCGCTCCCTTCTCTTCTCTTCTCTCTCCTCCTTCTCCCTTTCCTCCCCTCTCTCTCTTCTCCTCCCTTCTCTCCTCTCTTCCTCCTCTTTCTCTCTTTCCTCTCTCTCTCTCCTTCTCTCCCTCCTCCTTCTCCCTTTCCTCCCCTCTCTCCCTTTTTCTTTCCTCCTCCCTCTCGACTCCTTCTTTTCTCCTCTTCTCCCTTTCCTCCCCCTCTCTCCTTCTTTCTCTTCCTCCTTCCCTCTCTCCCTGTATCCTCTCTCCCTCTCTACGTCCTTCTCTCCCTCTCTATCCTTCCCTCTTTCCTCCTCTCCTCTTTCTCTCTGTCGTTCTTTGTGTCCTACAGGATCAGGTTTTATTCATTTTTCATGTCCTGTACATTTAGCTCCGAGTGAAGCTTTTACCTCCGTCCCTCCTCCTCCTCCTCTTCTCCTTCTCTCCTCCTCTTTCTCCTCTTATCCTCTTCTCCTTCTCTCTTTCTCTACGTGACTAAACTCTCTCGTTTCAGGACATTCCTTTTTTTTTACGGAGACACAAATCCTGTTCTTACGTCATCGAGCGTTTCGCAGCTCGGGAACAGCGGAACACAAAGGTCAAAGTTGAGGTTCAGGTGAAGGTTTGGGGGTTTAGTGCAGAACAAAAACCCAAACACGGTGATACAAAACCAAAAATAAGAAAACGTCATTATTTGTCTCCAAAATCAAAATAAAAAAAACAGATAAAGATTCGTTTTTTCAGTTTTCAATTTTATGTTTAAATGAAAAATGGAAAATACCGAGAACTAAACCAGGACTGATCCAGGACTGAACCAGGACTAAACCAGAACTAAACCATTTTTAGTCCCGGTCTGGTCCCTGCTGCAGGTCCTGGTCTGATGAAGACGACAGGACGACATCATCTACAAACAGCAGAGATGATCCTGTGGTCCCCAAACCGGACCCTCCGACCCCTGACTCAAACTCTGTCCATAAAAACAATGAACAGAACCGGTGACAGGGGCGGCCCTGGCGGAGTCCAACATGCACCGAGAACAGGTCCGACTCACTGCCGGAAATGAACACAGCTCCTGCTCCGGTCACACAGCCCCCCACAGGACACCACGAGGGACACGGTCACACACCTCCAGATCCACAAAGCACATGTGGACTGTGCAAACTCCCATGAACCTCGAGCACCGATGGAGAGTGTAGAGCTGCTCCAGTGTTCCACGACCAGGACCAAAACCACACTGCTCCTCCTGGATCCGAGGTTCCACTATCGGCCGGATTCTCCTCTCCAGTCCCTGACAGAGACCGGGGAGTCTGAGGAGTGTGATTCCTCTGGAGTTGGAACACACCCTCCGGTCCCCTTCCTTATACAGAGGGACCAACACCCCGGTCTGTCAGTCCAGAGGTACTGTCCCCGACCGCCACGAGATGTTGAAGAGACGTGTCAGCCAAGACCCACAACATCCAGAGACTTAAAATACTCAGGACGGATCATCCACCCCCAGAGTCACCGAGGAACTTTAACCACCTCAGTGACTTCAGCCAGGGTGATGGACAAGTCCACCTCCGAGTCCCAACCTCGGCTTCCTCCTCGGAAGACGTGACGGTGGGACTAAAGAGATCCTCAAAGTTTTCCTTCCACTGCCGGACAATGTTCCCAGTCAAGGTGAACAGTTCTCCACCTGCACTGTAAACAGTGTTGGTGAAGAACTGCTTCCCCCTCCTGAGGCGCCAGACGGTTTGCCAGAATCTCTTTGAGGCCGTCCGATAGTCCTTCTCCATGGCCTCCCCGAACTCCTCCCAGCTCCGAGTTTTTGCCTCCGCGACCACACGGGCTGCAGCACGCTTGGCCCGCCGGTACCCGTCAGCTGCCTCAGGAGTCCCCCGAGCCAGCAAGGCCCGATAGGACTCCTTCTTCAGCTTGACAGCATCCCTTACTTCCGGTGTCCACCACCGTGTTCGGGGATTGCTGCTGCGACAGGCACCACAGACCTTACGCTCACAGATACGAGCGGCCACATCGACAATAGAGGCCGAGAATGAAGCCCACTCGGACTCCATATCTCCAGCCTCCCCCAGAATCCGGGAGAAGTCCTCCCGGAGGTGCGAGTTGAAAGTCCCTCTGACAGAGGCTCTGCCAGACGTTCCCAACAGACCCTCACTACACGCTTGGGCCTGCCAGGTCTTTCCGGCTTCCTCCTCCTCCGCCAGCGAACCAACTCACAACCAGGTGGTGATCAGTTGACAGCTCAGCCCCTCTCTTCACCCGAGTGTCCAAGACACGCGGCCGGAGATCAGATGACACGACTACAAAGTCGATCATCGACCTCCGGCCTAGGGTGTCCTGGTGCCACGTGCACTTATGGACACCCTTGTGCTCGAACATGGTGTTCGTTATGGACAAACTGTGACTAGCACAGAAGTCCAATAACAAAACACCACTCGGGTTCAGATCAGGGAGGCCGTTCCTCCCAATCACCCCTCTCCAAGTGTCACTGTCGTTGCCCACATGGGCGCTGAAGTCCCCCAGGAGAACAACAGAGTCCCCGGTCGGTGCACTGTCTAGTACCCCTCCCAGGGACTCCAAGAAGGCCGGGTATTCGAGTACTCTGCACTGCTGTTCGGCCCGTAGGCAACACAACAGTGAGAGACCTGTCCCCGACCCGAAGGCGCAGGGACGTGACCCTCTCGTTCACCGGGGTGAACTCCAACACACAGCGGCTGAGCTGTGGGGCAATGAGCCCACACCAGCTCGCCGCCGCTCCCCCGCGGCCAACGCCAGAGAAATGGAGAGTCCAGTCCCTCTCAAGGAGTTGGTTCCAGAGCCCAAACTGTGCGTGGAGGTGAGGCCGACTATATCTAGTCGGTAACGCTCAACCTCCCGCACCAGGAGATCTGGTCGTCGAGGGCCCCGCCTTCGACTGCCGCCCAGATCTCTCCACACCAGCCTCATATGGATCCTCCCGCGTGAGGATGGCCCCACGTCGCTTGCTCTTCGGGCAAAGCCCGGCCGGGCCCCGTGGGAGAAGGCCCAGCCAACAGACGCTCGGTGGCGAGCACCCACCCCAGGCCTGGCTCCAGGGTGGGGCCCCGGTGACGCCATTCGGGGCAACGTCGCTGACCTCCGATTGTGACTCATCATGTGGGGCTTCTGAACCGTTCTTCGTCTGACCCGTTCCCCAGGACCTGTTTGCCTTGGGTGACCAGGGGCATGAAGCCCCCGACAATAGGGCTCCCAGGATCATTCAGTCTCAAACCTCCACCACGATAAGGCGACGGTTCATGTTTGTGAGTTGTTGTGTAGTTTACGGTCTTTTATTCGTTCGATTTGTGAGTTGTTGTGTAGTTTATGGTCTTTTATTCGTTCGTTTGTGAGTTGTTGTGTAGTTTATGGTCTTTTATTCGTTCGTTTGTGAGTTGTTGTGTAGTTTATGGTCTTTTATTCGTTCGTTTGTGAGTTGTTGTGTAGTTTACGGTCTTTTATTCGTTCGTTTGTGAGTTGTTGTGTAGTTTACGGTCTTTTATTCGTTCGTTTGTGAGTTGTTGTGTAGTTTATGGTTTTTATTCGTTCATGTGTGAGTTGTTGTGTAGTTTATGGTCTTTTATTCGTTCATGTGTGAGTTGTTGTGTAGTTTACGGTTTTTTATTCGTTCGTTTGTGAGTTGTTGTGTAGTTTACGGTCTTTTATTCGTTCGTTTGTGAGTTGTTGTGTAGTTTACGGTCTTTTATTCGTTCGTTTGTGAGTTGTTGTGTAGTTTATGGTCTTTTATTCGTTCATTTGTGAGTTGTTGTGTAGTTTATGGTCTTTTATTCGTTCATTTGTGAGTTGTTGTGTAGTTTACGGTCTTTTATTCGTTCGTTTGTGAGTTGTTGTGTAGTTTATGGTCTTTTATTCGTTCATGTGTGAGTTGTTGTGTAGTTTACGGTCTTTTATTCGTTCGTTTGTGAGTTGTTGTGTAGTTTACGTTTTTATTCGTACGTTGTGAGTTGTTGTGTAGTTTACGGTCTTTTATTCGTACGTTTGTGAGTTGTTGTGTAGTTTACGGTCTTTTATTCGTACGTTTGTGAGTTGTTGTGTAGTTTACGGTCTTTTATTCGTACGTTTGTGAGTTGTTGTGTAGTTTACGGTCTTTTATTCGTACGTTTGTGAGTTGTTGTGTAGTTTACGTTTTTATTCGTTCGTTTGTGAGTTGTTGTGTAGTTTATGGTCTTTTATTCGTTCGTTTGTGAGTTGTTGTGTAGTTTACGGTTTTTATTCGTTCGTTTGTGAGTTGTTGTGTAGTTTATGGTCTTTTATTCGTTCGTTTGTGAGTTGTTGTGTAGTTTACGTTTTTATTTCGTTCGTTTGTGAGTTGTTGTGTAGTTTACGGTCTTTTATTCGTTCGTTTGTGAGTTGTTGTGTAGTTTACGGTCTTTTATTCGTACGTTTGTGAGTTGTCGTGTAGTTTACGGTCTTTTATTCGTACGTTTGTGAGTTGTTGTGTGGTTTTTATTCGTCGTTTGTGAGTTTTCGTGTAGTTTACGGTCTTTTATTCGTTCGTTTGTGAGTTGTTGTGTAGTTTATGGTCTTTTATTCGTTCGTTTGTGAGTTGTTGTGTAGTTTACGGTCTTTTATTTCGTACGTTTGTGAGTTGTTGTGTAGTTTACGGTCTTTTATTCGTTCGTTTGTGAGTTGTTGTGTAGTTTATGGTCTTTTATTCGTTCATGTGTGAGTTGTTGTGTAGTTTACGGTTTTTATTCGTGTTGTGAGTTGTTGTGTAGTTTATGGTCTTTATTCGTTCATGTGTGAGTTGTTGTGTAGTTTACGGTCTTTTATTCGTTCGTTTGTGAGTTGTTGTGTAGTTTACGGTCTTTTATTCGTTCGTTTGTGAGTTTTCGTGTAGTTTATGGTCTTTTATTCGTTCGTTTGTGAGTTGTTGTGTAGTTTACGGTCTTTTATTCGTTCGTTTGTGAGTTGTTGTGTAGTTTATGGTCTTTTATTCGTTCGTTTGTGAGTTGTTGTGTAGTTTACGGTCTTTTATTCGTTCATGTGTGAGTTGTTGTGTAGTTTACGGTCTTTTATTCGTTCATGTGTGAGTTGTTGTGTAGTTTATGGTCTTTTATTCGTTCGTTTGTGAGTTGTTGTGTAGTTTACGGTCTTTTATTCGTTCGTTTGTGAGTTGTTGTGTAGTTTATGGTCTTTTATTCGTACTTTCAGCTCCAGGTCGTGTGTGTGACTCAGAAACATGTTTTTCTCTTGTTCTGAATTTTAAATGAACTCTGCCCTGACCCCATCATTTATGTATGAACACCATTATTACTACAAGAATATACGACCCGTGTACTACTACTACGGCAGAGTGGTTAACCTGCCCGCCCCACGGTGACCAGGTCGTGGGTTTGACTCCTCAAGAGTGAATTTAACATATATAAAACTGAAAAACCAGAACTAGACCAGGACTGAACCAGGACTGAAACAGAACCTAAAGCCAAACTGTGGGACATTTATCCTCATTAGAACAGGGTTAAAGCTCCACTGCGGGACATTTCCTCACATTAGAACAGGTTTAAAGCTCCACTGTGGAACATTTTCTGACATTAGTTCAGGATTAAAGCTCCACTGTGGGACATTTCCTGACGTGAGCTCAGTGTTGGAGAGGAGACGCAGATCAGCAGAATAATATTAATGTCAGTGTCGAGTTTGCGTTTCTCTTGTGTCTAAAGTTACTGCAGTGGGGTCAGGATTACTGCAGTACTGTCTAATGATACTGCAGTACTGTCTAATGATACTGCAGTACTGTCTAATGATACTGCAGTACTGTATACAGTTACTGCAGTCGTGGGAAAAGCAGAGCTCAGCCGATTCTCCGGTAAAATGACCTTTACTTCAGGTTTATAAGAAGAGCAGCAGGACGGTCATGTGACCGAAGAGTGAGACTCTCAGAGGGCAGGCTCACACCTGTCGGGCAGGGGCAGTCCCTGCAGAGTCCAGTCGAGACAGCCACAGCCGCCCTGGGGCAGATAGAGTTCACATGTCACTAGGGCTGGGTATCATTAAGAAGTTGTCGATACGATACAAACCTCGATACACAGGCCACGATACGATACGCTGTACAATACAGTGAGCTTTGGATTGGACAGGATTCGTTACAATATATTTCACACTGATTCGATATGATTCAGTGTAAAAAAGGCGAAACTCATGGCTGTTATACTAGAAGTTTACCAAGTTAATTTGAAAAACACCAATTTTACTCATCAAAATTGTGGAAATGTCAACATTTCTGTAGCTCTTACACAAAATACTTTAGTAAAATATACCAAAAATTACTCTTGCCGATATATCGATATAGCAGTCCACGATATCAATACTGTACCTGTCCTCCTGTCACCTGTCACCTGTCACTGTTAACCTGACCACCTCTCACATGTCCACCTGTCTGCACCTGTCCTTGTCGGGACAGGTGCAGACACAGTCCCTCAGAACTCAGGTCTGTGTCACAGCTCTACTCACACTGACCTGAGCTCCCACAGACCTGAGCTCACGCAGACCTGAGCTCACGCCGACCTGAGCTCACGCCGACCTGAGCTCACGCAGACCTGAGCTCACACTGCCGACCTGAGCTCACGCCGACCTGAGCTCACACTGACCTGAGCTCACACCTGACCTGAGCTCACACCTGAGAGACCTGACCTGACCTGAGAGAAAGAGCTGATTGGTCAAAACTGACCATGTGATTAATTTGCATTATTTTGCACCGTGTATAAGTTCAGGTTTCCTTGTCTAAACACTTTACACATATATAAATATAAACCTTGTGTGTGAACTCAAGTCGCAGTATTGTAGTATATACAGTATATACAGTATATACAGTATATACAGTATATACAGTATATACAGTATATACAGTATATACAGTATATACAGTATACAGTATATACAGTATATACAGTATATACAGTATATACAGTATATACAGTATATACAGTATATACAGTATATATCAGAGGTGTTCACACTTTTTCATCATGTGAGCTACTTACAAAATGACCAAGTTAAAATGATCTTCCTAATACAAAGTCAAACAAACTGCACTGAAACACTCTGTGCCCCTTTTTTGGACCCTCCCCCACAGTTTGAGAACCTCTTCTTTAAGAGAACTTCCTCTGGCACTTTACACAAAACTGTGAAAAAAGTGAAGGAAGATTTTTAAACCTGTTTTTTAAAGTTCCAAACTGGAGTTACATTCTTTTCTGGTTTTGCAGTGATATTTACCAGCCTCTGCACGTTTACCAAACCAAACGCACATCGTGACAAACACAGATGCATTTGTCACTTTTGTTAGACAAACTTCAGCCAAATGTGGCAGTAGGTCTGTTCTGTAGATCCGCTCTATGCTGTAGACCTGCTTTGTGCCAACACTGGAACACAAATTTAGACTGGTTTTTGCTTCACGTTTGGTCTTGTTCTTCTAATCAGCCGCACTGTGGGAGGGGCTTGTGTTGGCTGTACGCAGGAAGGAGCGAGAGCGTGAAAAGGCGAGGGGCGGCGTGCTGACGTGAGGCAGATGGACAGGTAGGATGTTTAGGAAGTTGAACCTGCCCTGTGATGCACGCTGGTACACGAGGGCACACGCTGTCGCAGACGAGCCGTGCATAGGGAGCGTGTGTGTTTGTGATGCGCCGTAGAGTCTCCGCGGGTTTCAAATGAGCGCACAGGCTGCACTGAGACGCCCCACACGCTCCTGCACCCGCTACAAGTTTATTACCAACAGCAGCGGCCGGAATGAAACATGATCACACTTGTTGAGTGTCAGACCTCGAGTGAGAGACAAGACCGAGTCCAAACACGAGTCCGAGACGAGACACGACGATCTACCCACACGACCTTGGCCATCGACTGGTAGATCGAGATTGACGTATTGAGCACCACTGAAATATACAGTATACATATATTTATATATAAATATAAACCTTGCGTGTGGACTCAGGTCGTAGTCTCCTGACCAGCAGCGCTCCGGTCATGCAGCACAGCGCCCCCATCAGGCCGATCACACAGAAGCTCAGGCTCCAGGGCAGCGAGCACAGGAAACACCCGCCGTGAGCCGACGTGCACACCCACACGTGCACGCCCCCCAGCAGCACACACACCAACAGGAACGGGAGCGACGCCACCGACGACGCCACCGGCACGTCCACCAGGGCGGCGCCGCTCAGGCACTCGGGCATCGACAGCACCAGCAGCAACACCAACTGAGGACAGAAGAACAACACGTGAGGCTCTTCACACTGAAAACACTCTGGTCTCCCTCCGCCTGACCTGAGGCTCCTTCATCCTCTGTCTGACCTGAGGCTCCTGTCTGACCTGAGGCTCCTTCATCCTCCGTCTGACCTGAGGCTCCTTCATCCTCCGTCTGACCTGAGGCTCCTTCATCCTCCGTCTGACCTGAGGCTCCTTCATCCTCTGTCTGACCTGAGGCTCCTTCATCCTCCGTCTGACCTGAGGCTCCTTCATCCTCCGTCTGACCTGAGGCTCCATCATCCTCTGTCTGACCTGAAGCTCCTTCATCCTGTGTCAGACCTGAGTTTCCTTGGTCCTGTGTGACCTGAGTGTGTGTGACCTGAGTGCTGGAGCAGGCGTGTGTGACCTGAGTGCGTGTGACCTGAGTGTGTGTTGCTGACTCTGCAGTGTCCGTGTTTAAAAATAAAGTCTCTTTATGAATGTCGAGAGAATTATTTATAGAGGAGGAGAGAACGTCCAGAGAAAAGGAAAGATTCAGGAGAAACTGAAGCTGGACGAGTTTAAACACGACAGACGACGACTAAAGACTAAAGACTAAAGACTAAAGACTAAAGACTAAAGACTAAAGACTAAAGACTAAAGACTAAAGACTAAAGACTAAAGACTAAAGACTAAAGACTAAAGCCTAAAGACTAAAGACTAAAGACTAAAGACTAAAGACTAAAGACTAAAGACTAAAGACTAAAGACTAAAGCCTAAAGACTAAAGACTAAAGACTAAAGACTAAAGACTAAAGACTAAAGACTAAAGACTAAAGACTAAAGACTAAAGACTAAAGACTAAAGACTAAAGACTAAAGACTAAAGACACGCAAATAAAAAAGAACAAATTCCAAAAAGCTCCTGAGACACTTTAGACGAGTCACTCGATCGTCCTGAAGCAGAAAAGTCCCAGAGTGTGTCTTTAAACGTGGCTCACCTGCAGCGCGAGGCTCAGTCCCGCCGTCATGGCGTACATGTCGTAGCGGCCGAGCTGGCGGCTCAGCGCGGCGCTCATGGAGGCCAGAGCCTGGAGGTACTGCTTCAGGACCTTCTGACCCACGTTCTGAAGAACCTCCGACGTGTTTCCCTCCAGATACAGACTGACCCAGCTCCCGTGGGCTCGCTCCGCCACACGGAACTGCTCCCAGCCCGACTCTGAACACACAGACCAGTTTATACTTTCATAAGATCCAAATATCAACAGAGACGCAGGAAAAAACTAAACAAAAAGAAACAGAATGAAAGTGAGTCAGTGGAGGACGTGATGAGACAGATGAACATGAACCAACACACAGACTCCACATGATTCTACTGAAGGAGTGTGGAGTTTAAAAACACAGTGGAGCACTTCCTGTATCACCACATGATGACATCACAAGGTGGAACAGAGTGTTTTCAGTGTGAGAGAAGAACTCGTGCTCATTGTGCAGGTTTGTGTTTTAAACATGTGAATGAAACAAAAGAACAGAACAGAAGAACAGAACAGAACAGAGTGACACAGGCACTTTAAATTAAATCAATTAAATTTAAGTTCTGCAGTAAATATGAACAGTATTAAAATACTACTGTAGTAGTAGTGCAGTAGTAGTAGTGCAGTAGTAGTACTGCAGTAGTAGTAGTGCAGTAGTAGTAGTGCAGTAGTAGTAGTGCAGTAGTAGTAGTGCAGTAGTAGTAGTAGTAGTAGTAGTAGCAGTAGTAGTAGTACTGCAGTAGTAGTAGTAGTAGTACTGTAGTAGTAGTAGTAGTAGTAGTGCAGTAGTAGTACTAGTAGTAGTAGTGCAGTAGTAGTAGTGCAGTAGTAGTAGTGCAGTAGTAGTAGTAGTAGTAGTACTGTAGTAGTAGTAGTGCAGTAGTAGTAGTAGTAGTAGTAGTGCAGTAGTAGTACTGTAGTAGTAGTAGTAGTAGTAGTGCAGTAGTAGTAGTGCAGTAGTAGTAGTGCAGTAGTAGTAGTAGTAGTAGTACTGTAGTAGTAGTAGTAGTAGTAGTGCAGTAGTAGTAGTAGTAGTAGTGCAGTAGTAGTACTGTAGTAGTAGTACTGCAGTAGTAGTAGTGCAGTAGTAGTACTGTAGTAGTAGTAGTGCAGTAGTAGTAGTGCAGTAGTAGTACTGCAGTAGTAGTAGTGCAGTAGTAGTAGTGCAGTAGTAGTAGTAGTAGTAGTAGTAGCAGTAGTAGTAGTAGTAGTGCAGTAGTAGTAGTAGTAGTGCAGTAGTAGTAGTGCAGTAGTAGTAGTAGTAGTAGTAGTGCAGTAGTAGTAGTAGTACTGTAGTAGTAGTAGTAGTAGTAGTAGCAGTAGTAGTAGTGCAGTAGTAGTAGTGCAGTAGTAGTAGTAGCTGCAGTAGTAGTAGTGCAGTAGTAGTACTGCAGTAGTAGTAGTAGTAGTAGTAGTAGTAGTAGTAGTGCAGTAGTAGTAGTAGTAGCAGTAGTAGTAGTAGTAGTAGTACAGTAGTAGTAGTGCAGTAGTAGTAGTAGCAGTAGTAGTAGTGCAGTAGTAGTAGTAGTAGTAGTAGTGCAGTAGTAGTAGTGCAGTAGTAGTAGTGCAGTAGTAGTAGTGCAGTAGTAGTAGTGCAGTAGTAGTACTGCTAGTAGTACAGTAGTAGTAGTAGTAGTAGTAGTAGTAGTATTATTGTGTGGTGAGAAAAGTGCAGTGTAAAAATAAAAGTCTTTTACTCCAGTGATTTAAACTCACATCAAATGACTCTGAATATTTTACACTGTTTTATTTGAACCTGAGAAACTTTATGAAAGAATAAAACAGAACCAGAACTAAACCAGGACTAAACCAGGACTAAACTAGAACCAGGACTAAACCAGGACTAAATCAGAACTAAACCAGGACTAAACCAGGACTAAACCAGGACTAGGACTAAACCAGACTAAACCAGGACTAAACCAGGACTAAACCAGAACTAAACCAGGACTAAACCAGGTCTGAACACAGGACTAAACCAGGACTAAACCAGGACTAAACCAGGACTAAACCAGAACTAAACCAGGACTAAACCAGGACTAAACCAGGACTAAACCAGACTAAACCAGGACTAAACCAGGACTAAACTAAACCACAGGACTAAACCAGGACTAAATCAGAACTAAACCAGGACTAAACCAGGACTAAACCAGGACTAAACTAAAACCAGGTCTAAACCAGGTCTAAACCAGGTCTAAACCAGGACTGAACCAGGACTAAACCAGGACTAAACCAGGACTAAACCAGGACTGAACCAGGTCTAAACCAGGACTAAACCAGGTCTAAACCAGGACTGAACCAGGTCTGAACACAGGACTAAACCAGGACTAAACCAGGACTAAAACAGGGTCTAAACCAGGACTGAACCAGGACTAAACCAGGACTAAACCAGGACTAAACTAAACCAGGACTAAATCAGAACTAAACCAGGACTAAACGAGACTAAAGGACTAAACCAGGACTAAACCAGGTAAACCAGACTAAAGGACTAAACCAGGACTAAACAGAACTAAACCAGACTAAACCAGGTCTGAACACAGGACTAAACCAGGACTAAATCAGAACTAAACCAGGACTAAACCAGGACTAAACCAGAACTTAAACCAGGACTAAACCAGGTCTGAACACAGGACTAAACCAGGACTAAATCAGAACTAAACCAGGACTAAACCAGGTCTGAACACAGGACTAAACCAGGACTAAATCAGAACTAAACCAGGACTAAACCAGGTCTGAACACAGGACTAAACCAGGACTAAACCAGGTCTAAACCAGGTCTAAACCAGGACTGAACCAGGACTAAACCAGGACTAAACCAGGACTAAACCAGGACTAAACCAGGACTAAACCAGGACTGAACCAGGTCTAAACCAGGACTAAACCAGGTCTAAACCAGGTCTAAACCAGGACTGAACCAGGTCTGAACACAGGACTAAACCAGGACTAAACCAGGACTAAATCAGGGTCTAAACCCGGTCTAGACCCGGTCTTTCCTCACCTCTCTGGTGTTCTGGCAGACTGTCTCGGAGCAGGTCTAAACCCGGTCTAGACCCGGTCTTTCCTCACCTCTCTGGTGTTCTGGCAGACTGTCTCGGAGCAGGTCTAAACCCGGTCTAGACCCGGTCTTTCCTCACCTCTCTGGTGTTCTGGCAGACTGTCTCGGAGCAGGTCTAAACCCGGTCTAGACCCGGTCTTTCCTCACCTCTCTGGTGTTCTGGCAGACTGTCTCGGAGCAGGTTTAGACCCGGTCTAGACCTGGTCTTTCCTCACCTCTCTGGTGTTCTGGCAGACTGTCTCGGAGCAGGTCTAGACCCGGTCTAGACCTGGTCTTTCCTCACCTCTCTGGTGTTCTGGCAGACTGTCTCGGAGCAGGTCTAAACCCGGTCTAGACCCGGTCTTTCCTCACCTCTCTGGTGTTCTGGCAGACTGTCTCGGAGCAGGTCTAAACCCGGTCTAGACCCGGTCTTTCCTCACCTCTCTGGTGTTCTGGCAGACTGTCTCGGAGCAGGTCTAGACCCGGTCTAGACCTGGTCTTTCCTCACCTCTCTGGTGTTCTCTGGCAGACTGTCTCGGAGCAGGTTTAGAACCCGGTCTAGACCTGGTCTTTCCTCACCTCTCTGGTGTTCTGGCAGACTGTCTCGGAGCAGGTCTAGACCCGGTCTAGACCTGGTCTTTCCTCACCTCTCTGGTGTTCTGGCAGACTGTCTCGGAGCAGGTCTCTAGACCGGTCTTTCCTCACCTCTCTGGTGTTCTGGCAGACTGTCTCGGAGCAGGCGGTTGAGCTGGTGTCCGTTCAGGTGCAGGAGTCTCAGTTGGTCTCTCAGACTCAGTCCCTCCAGGATCTGGGGCAGGACTCGTCCCACAGAGTTTTGAGGCACCGGGAGACCGAGACCCAGAGCCAGAGACGGAGCCAAGTCCACCTGCTCCACCTCCAGGGGGCGCTGCATCCCCTCTGCACAAACACAAGAGCCAACACTCAGTGTCTAAACCAGGTCTAAACCAGGACTAAACCAGGACTAAACCAGGACTAACCCAGGTCTAGACCAGGTCTAGACCAGGACTAAACCAGGTCTAGACCAGGACTGTGACACGCGGGGAGGGGGCAGGAGTGTGGGAGGGCATCTGACCTTTCCTCCTGAAGGCGGGGCTGAGCAGGAGCAGGGCCGTGTTGACCTCGGGGTCGGAGGAGCCGCCGTGACCTCCGCTCTCCGACATCCCGTGATCCCCACAGAGAACCAACAGGTACGGGAGAGCGCCCTCTGTCTGCTGGAGGACGAGAACACACCTGAACCAGGACTGGACCAGGACTGGACCAGGACTGGACCAGGACTGGACCAGGACTGGACCAGGACTGAACCAAGACTGGACCAGGACTGGACCAGGACTGGACCTGGACTGGACCAGGACTGGACCAGGACTAAACTGACAGGACTGAACAGGACTGAACCAGACTGGACCAGGACTGAACCAGAACTGAACCAGGACTGGACCAGGACTGAACCAGGACTGGACCAGGACTAAACCAGGACTGAACCAGGACTGGACCAGGACTGAACCAGGACTGGACCAGGACTGGACCAGGACTGAACCAGGACTGGACCAGGACTGAACCAGGACTGAACCAGGACTGGACCAGGACTGAACCAGGACTGGACCAGGGACTGACTGACCAGGACTGACCAGGACTGGACCAGGACTGACAGGACTGACCAGGACTGGACCAGGACTGAACCAGGACTGGACCAGGACTGGACCAGGACTGAACCAGGACTGGACCAGGACTGGACCAGGACTGAACCAGGACTGGACCAGGACTGAACCAGGACTGAACCAGGACTGAACCAGGACTGGACCAGGACTGACTGGACCAGGACTGAACCAGGACTGGACCAGGACTGAACCAGGACTGAACCAGGACTGGACCAGGACTGGACCAGGACTGAACCAGGACTGGACCAGGACTAAACCAGGACTGGACCAGGACTGGACCAGGACCAGGACTGGACACCAGGACTGAACCAGGACTAAACCAGGACTGGACCAGGACTGAACCAGGACTGGACCAGGACTGACTGGACCAGGACTGAACCAGAACTGAACCACGACTGAACCAGGACTAAACCAGGACTGGACCAGGACTGAACCAGGACTGGACCAGGACTGAACCAGAACTGAACTAGAACTAAACCAGGACTGGACCAGGACTGAACCAAGACTGAACCAAGACTGGACCAGGACTGAACCAGGACTGAACCAGGACTGAACCAGGACTGGACCAGGACTGAACCAGGACTGAACCAGGACCGAACCAGAACTGAACCAAGACTGGACCAGGAGTGGATCAGGACTGGACCGGGACTGGACCAGGACTGGACCAAGACTGGACCAGGACTAAACCAGGACTGGACCAGGACTGAACCAGAACTGAACCAGGACTGAACCAGGACTAAACCAGGACTGGACCAGGACTGAACCAGGACTGGACCAGGACTGAACCAGGACTGGACCAGGACTGAACCAGGACTGAACCAGGACTGGACCAGGACTGAACCAGGACTGAACCAGGACTGAACCAGAACTGAACCAAGACTGGACCAGGAGTGGATCAGGACTGAACCAGGACTGAACCAGGACTGAACCAGGACTGGACCAGGACTGAACCAGGACTGAACCAGGACCGAACCAGAACTGAACCAAGACTGGACCAGGAGTGGATCAGGACTGAACCAGGACTGAACCAGGACTGAACCAGGACTGGACCAGGACTGAACCAGGACTGAACCAGGACTGAACCAGGACTGAACCAGGACCGAACCAGAACTGAACCAAGACTGGACCAGGAGTGGATCAGGACTGGACCGGGACTGGACCAGGACTGGACCAAGACTAGACCAGTGTCTCCAGTATCCTGGAAGGACTGGAGGAGTCTGGACCTGAGTGTGAATTATTCATGTGGAAAACTCCAGCGGAAAAACAGAAACCTCAAAAATCTTTAAAAGAGACACAGAGGAACCAGTCCAGGACTAAACCAGGACTGAACCAGGACTAAACCAGGACTAAACCAGGACTAAACCAGGACTACACCAGGACTACACCAGGACTAAACCAGGACTAAACCAGGACTAAACCAGGACTAAACCAGAACTAAACCAGGACCAAAATACACATATACAGAGAATCACATGTTCAGATCTCCTTGCTCCTTTTATTGTTTTGAAAATGTTATATTTACCCAAAATTGTGCTAACTCCCCCCCCTTCAGAGCAGCACACACACTGGGACTCACACACCACAGCAGGTTTGTCCAGCTGCTGTGGACAAGTTTATGTCATCCATCCATCCATC